AACGTTAAACATTGTTGCTCTTGAATCCAAGAGGCTGCTGTCAGTTTAGTCCCTGTTATCACATGAGGAGAGATTCAGCCAATCAGAGGACAGTTTGCGCTTGTGTGTGTGTCAATCAGTGTGTATTCATGTGAGCAAGCGTGGGTCACTGAGTGTGCAATGGTGTGAATGAGCATCTGTATGAGTGTGTGTTCAACCGCGAGACAGTGTGTCCGTGTGTGTGTGTGCGTGTGTTTGTGTTTGTGTGAGTGTGTGTAGGTGTGTGTCCTTACATATCTTTACATTGTGGGAGGTCATTCGGCCTCAGGCTAACACTCTTCTTGTTCTCCTCTTTCACCTTCTACCCGTTTCCTTTCACAATAAGAGCGCTGAAGGAGAACACTTGTGAGGCAGTGAATCACTAAACAAACTTGACATTATTTTATTGTGGTGCAGCTTGTTGTTTTTGGTATCTTGGTGCATTCTGGTTTGTAGACGTCTTCTAAATGGGGAACTTTGCCTTCTGGGTCGGAGTCAGGTGATTACGTGATGGATTGATTGGTTTTAGAAGGCGGCCGTGGAGAATGGACTACAGAGGGACGCCAGCTGTCCCGTCCCGTGTCCAACATGGACCAGCAGGGTTCATACCTGGTGGAATAAAGCTGCTCTCCACAGTTCAGAAGCTTATTAGTTCATTTCCTGCTGCTGGGTGGAGGTGAGTTGGCCTCAAGGTGGAGATCACAAGTGAGTTCAGCTCTTCTTCTTCCAGTGGACAGTCATAAACATGGGGACTTCTTCCTCACGTGTCCATGAAGGGACCAAAGTCAGCAGAATAAGAAATATAAAACTAAAATCCAATAAAATCGTTAGTGTTTTAGACCAAATTCAATCGCATCCCTCAGAAAGAGCTGAGAATGTCAAATGTGTGTTTGCATCTAATCTGAGAGACCAGCGACCAGCGACCAGCGACCAGCGACCAGAGACCAGGGACCAGGACCAGGGACCAGAGACCAGGGACCAGGACCAGGGACCAGGGACCAGAGACCAGGGACCAGAGACCAGAGACCAGGGACCAGGGACCAGAGACCAGAGACCAGCGACCAGAGACCAGGGACCAGAGACCAGAGACCAGAGACCAGGGACCAGAGACCAGGGAGCAGAGACAGAGACCAGAGACCAGAGACCAGAGACCAGAGACCAGGGACCAGAGACCAGAGACCAGGGACCAGAGACCAGGGACCAGAGACCAGAGACCAGGGACCAGAGACCAGAGGCCAGAGACCAGGGACCAGCGACCAGCGACCAGCGACCAGCGACCAGAGACCAGGGACCAGGGACCAGGGACCAGAGACCAGGGACCAGGGACCAGGGACCAGAGACCAGAGACCAGAGACCAGGGACCAGCGACCAGCGACCAGAGACCAGGGACCAGGGACCAGGGACCAGAGACCAGAGACCAGCGACCAGCGACCAGCGACCAGCGACCAGAGACCAGGGACCAGGGACCAGGGACCAGAGACCAGGGACCAGGGACCAGGGACCAGAGACCAGGGACCAGAGACCAGAGACCAGGGACCAGGGACCAGAGACCAGGGACCAGAGACCAGAGACCAGAGACCAGAGACCAGGACCAGCGACCAGCGACCAGCGACCAGGGACCAGAGACCAGGGACCAGAGACCAGGGACCAGAGACCAGGGACCAGGGACCAGGGACCAGGGACCAGAGACCAGAGACCAGGGACCAGGGACCAGAGACCAGGGACCAGAGACCAGAGACCAGAGACCAGAGACCAGGGACCAGCGACCAGAGACCAGGGACCAGAGACCAGAGACCAGAGACCAGGGACCAGAGACCAGGGACCAGCGACCAGGGACCAGAGACCAGAGACCAGAGACCAGAGACCAGAGACCAGGGACCAGGGACCAGAGACCAGGGACCAGGGACCAGAGACTAGAGACTAGAGACCAGGGACCAGAGACCAGGGACCAGGGACCAGAGACCAGGGACCAGAGACCAGAGACCAGGGACCAGGGACCAGAGACCAGGGACCAGCGACCAGAGACCAGAGACCAGCGACCAGAGACCAGGGACCAGAGACCAGCGACCAGAGACCAGGGACCAGGGACCAGGGACCAGAGACCAGAGACCAGGGACCAGAGACCAGGGAGCAGAGACCAGAGACCAGAGACCAGGGACCAGAGACCAGAGACCAGGGACCAGAGACCAGGGACCAGAGACCAGAGACCAGGGACCAGAGACCAGAGGCCAGAGACCAGGGACCAGAGACCAGAGACCAGGGACCAGAGACAAGAGACAAGAGACCAGAGACCAGAGACAAGACACCAGAGACCAGAGACCAGAGACCAGAGACCAGAGACCAGAGACCAGAGACCAGAGACCAGAGACCAGAGACCAGGGACCAGAGACCAGAGACCAGAGACCAGGGACCAGAGACAAGAGACAAGAGACAAGAGACCAGAGACCAGGGACCAGAGGCAAGACACCAGAGACCAGAGACCAGGGACCAGGGACCAGAGACCAGAGACCAGAGACAAGAGACAAGAGACAAGAGACCAGAGACCAGAGACCAGAGACAAGACACAAGACACAAGAGACCAGAGACACGACACAAGACACAAGACACAAGACACAAGACACAAGACACAAGACACAAGAGACCAGAGACCAGAGACAAGACACAAGAGACAAGGGACCAGAGACAAGACACCAGAGACCAGAGACCAGGGACATGACACCAGAGACCAGAAACCACTGACCAGGGACCAGATAGACCAGAGACAAAGAGACCAGAGGCCAGATTGATCAGAGACCACAGTCCAGAGATCCCAGAGACCAGAAACCACAGACCAGAAAGACCAGAGAAAAGATAATCCTCCTCTTTCTCTTCTTTTCCTCTTCTTCCTCCAAACTCTTTCCCGCTGCCTCCGGTCTGCCAATGCTTACAACCTGGAGACCATCAGGTCTCCAGGTTGTGTCGGACCTGGGGTGACGAGGCCTTCTCAGCTGCTGCACCTAGGGTTAGGGTTAGAACGCCCCCCATCCAAATCCTCCAGGCTGCCATCGTATCATCATTCAAACAATTTTCTCCAGTTCTTTTTTTTGTGTTGTATTTGTTTCTTTTGTCTGCTAGTTTATTTCTTTTTGTCTGCTTTTGTTCTTGTCTGTCTTTGTGAAGCGTCTTTGGGTACCTAGAAAAGCGCTATGAAAAAGGTCTTATTATTTCTCCTCCTGCAGGATAATGACTTGTTGATAAAACAGAAGCTAAACTCGAGTCCAATTGCTCTTCTAAGTCTCTATTTGATTGACAGAAGTCTGAGCAGGGGTAGGGGGCGGGCTCAGGCAAGTGAGCAGGTAAGTGATTGACAGTTGTTGCGAATGAACATTTGTCCACTTGTTAACTCAGACAATAATATTTCTGATGACACTTTGAATACAAATTTAAAAGAAAAAGCATTTTCCTGCTCAGTCATTTTATATTATTCTCTGTTCCATTAGTATTGTTTTTAATCAATTTTTTTTTTTTTCTTTTGGTGGAATTTTTTTGCATATAATTGGGCAAGAAAGCTGCATTATTATTATTATTATATTATAATGCTGCTTGTGTATTATTATGAGTTCTTATCTTGTTTTTTCTGTTCTCGTAGCTTTTATTTATTGTACTTCTCCATAAAATCTCACACTGAGACGCTGTTATTGGGCAGATTACTGCAAGCCAGAGGTCAAAGGTCAACGGCTGAAGGGGACTCGGGTACCTTGAAGTTGCAGCTCGGGTTGACCTGGGATCAGCACTGATGGGTAAGTGTGTCCGCTGTCCCCCCAGGGCGCCAACCACCGATGAAAGACTGCACACTAAAGACATTTTCAAACCACAAAACCTTGATTGAGTTTATTTCCTCTGCTGATGACTGAATATCTTCATCATAACACTCCAGAGGAAGAAGAACACCTTGGTTTTACTTTCCCGTAAAAAGCTTTGGAGACAGGATGGAGGAGAAGTGATGGAGGAGACGGGATAAAGGAGACGTGATGAAGGAGACGTGATGGTCTTTGTCTTCCGTCTGTTGTCCATTAACAGTTTGAGGGGGCTGCTTGCTTTCAAAGCTGTGCCCCGAGCTCAGACACACACACACACACTTAACGTCTCCTGATCAATATTTAATGAGGTGATCAATCAGTAAAACGTTTTAATGTGGCTCAACAAATAGAAATAAGACGACACAATTTATACATTAGAGACAGAAGAGACCTTAAAGAAAGAAGAGACATTAGAGACAGAAGAGATTCAAAAAAAGACAACATAGACATTAGTCATCCTCCTCATTCACCTCCTCCCCCCTCTGCTCCTCCCTCTCCTCCATCTCTTCCACTCCCCCCGCTCTCTTTCTCTTCCTCCCCCCTCACCTCCTCTGTCTCCTCCTCCTTCTCTCTTTCCTCTCCTCCTCCATCTCTGCCTCCTCCTCCTCTGGTTACAATAGAAAACGTACTGGAGCTGATTGTGAGTCTGCGCGAGCCGCGGCCCGATCAGCGCACGCCATGATGCGCAAAAAAACAAATAAAAAACGCTTCGTTTTTGGTAAATTTAAGATTCAGAAGAAAAAATAATAACAAGAATGATAAGAACTAGGATTATAAAAATAAGAATAACCATTAACAATAATAACTATCCATGTAATAAAATGTATAAGAAAAATAACACATACAATTAAATACAAGTGTAATAAACTGGTTCATAGATTAGTGCTGCTGGAGGATTTTCATCCTGTTCTTTTATTTGTTTAACTGTCACATTTGAACCTATTTGGATTTGTCCCACTTTGCTAATGATAATAATGATAATAATTATAAGTCGGCTGATTGATTTCAGGGATTTTACATCTCATTAAAGTCGTAATGCTTCATTTCATAGTGTCGTATATTGTGCTGTTTAAATAATAAATAATAGAGAGTAAAACCAGAAGTTAATGGACGACCTTTGTCTGACTGCTCAAAACAAACGTTATTTTATTCATATGGATCTGACCGTCTGCAGGTGACGTCATGATGAGGTCATTAGAAAACAAAAACACATGCACGTTCTTTTCATAGAACCGTTAAAACTTTATTTGTAGAAAAATGTCCGCAGCAGTAAATAGAATAAAAATCTCTCTATGTACAAAATACAGATTTTACGAATGAAAACAAGACGAGTAAAATAAATAAAATAAGCATCAGTTGGGGGGGGGGGGGGACCGGGGGGGGCTACTATTCTTTACTCTGTCACGAGCGTCAAACACGATTCCACGCTCTCCTTCTGCTTCAGCACGCGACTAATTGTAAAACTGACTTTTCACCTCCGGTGATGCGGGGGGGGGGGGGGGGGGGGGGGGGGGGCAAAGTGCACGGGCTGTAGGGTCAAAACGGAACATAACAAGGAACCAAAAAGGAAGAATGGCTCATTTATACATAAATGAGCCATAAGGCAACAGTGATTCTGTCTCAGTCCACATAGATGGTCCTCTATCTCGTCTGTCCTCCATCTCCTCTTTGTCCTCTCTGTCTCGTCTGTCCTCTGTCTCCTCTGACCTCGGTCAGTAGACGCCCGGCACGAAGCTACGGAATCCGAACAGCGCGTCCTGCGGCCGGTATCCGTAGTCCTCCGGGGGGCTGCCCGGGCTGGAGGCGCAGTACGACGGGGAGGAGGAGGAGGAGGAGGAGGAGTCGCTGGAGCTCCAGGAGCGGGCGTCGCTCCCCGGACTCGACGCGTCTGCGAGGCGCACGGGGCCGCGCAGCAGGGGCGCGTCCCCGGCTCTCCCGGCCTGCAGGTCCGCGATGCGCACGGTCTCGGAGAGGGCCCAGATGTAGTTGTGCGCGAGGCGCAGCGTCTCGATCTTCGTGAGTTTGGTCTCCTCCGCGCACGCGGGCAGCAGCTCGCGCAGCGTGTCCAGCGCGTCGTTCAGGTTGTGCATGCGGTTACGCTCGCGGTCGTTGGCTTTCACGCGCCGGTTCTTCCTCACAACGGGCACGGAGCCGCGGCCCCGACGCCGCTTCTTCTGCTGCTCGGGCTGCGGTGACGCGCAGCGTGCACTCCCGCGGGAGTCCTCGTCGTCCGTGCGCGTGAAGAAGTCGCAGCTGCTGCTGTCGGAGTCCATGGCGCGAGGAGCTCTGCGCGGACAAGAAGGCGTTAGGACCACGTGCACTGCGGGCTGTGCGTGTGTGAGCACACGTGTGTGCGTGCGTGAGGAGTCCCGCAGGTAGCGGAGACGCGCCCGGGCACTTACCTTGACTTAGTGGAGGGTCGCGAGAGTTCTGGAGCAGGACAAGCGGCACGCGCCTTTTCCAGTTGTTCTGCTGTTGGTTGAGCTCGTGCCGTTGGGCTTGCGCGCGTTTATATAGTAAGGATGGACAAAGCCCCCCCCCCCCCCCCCCCATGGTTGCCCCGTGCCGAGCGAGCTGCTCATTAACATAACGACGTACAGAGAAGCGTGCCGGTGATCACGGACAGCCAATCAGAGGCCGGCCACGCGAGCGACACGCAGCCCCCTCCCAGCCCCCCCCCCCCCCCCCCCCCCCTCTCACCGGGAGGCTGAAAGGACCAAACCCACCTCCAGAGTTAAAACCAAAAACATTAAAAAAAGAAAGAATGAAGAAAGAAGAGTCAGGAGGACCCCCCACCCCCCCCCCCCCCCCCCCCACTGGGCAGAGACACGCTCCGGAGCGCCCCCCCCCCCCCCCCACTGATCCTCTGTTACAAGAAACACTGACTGAGACACAAACTTCAGCCCAACAACAGAAAGTAAAGAAACACTGAAGATTGTCTTAATTTATTCATCAATAATAACACTTTAACTCTTATTTTGAAAGGTGTTACAAAGTGCTTCACAATAAAAGCACTTTGCAAGCAATTCAGATTAAAGACACTAAAGTTGAGCAACCGGAGCAGAAACATCCGTAAGAGGTACGAGAGACTTAAGTTTTTCTATTTTAATATATACAATAAAATAGATTATATCACATTAAATTATATATATTTGACATTATATTATATTTTCATTGGTTGTGAAAGTGGGATAAATTCCTCTGCATTATCAGAAACAAAGCAACACGTCTCACTGGGAATATGAAGATAATGAATAAAGATGAGCAGGATGAAACAGGTCAAAGGTCACAGAAAAGGCTTAGGTTGGTTTTCGTCTCAGTTCAAATGTTTTTTTATTTTATAGTTATGAACATGAATTCTCTAAAACAAGTGTTTAAAAAGATGCACGTTATAAAATAAAAATATATAATACGAAGAGGAGGATTAAACGTTGTTATTAACCTTATAGATAAGAATTATAAAGGTCACAGCAAGATCAATTAATTAAAGGATTCTTCTTCTTCTTCGTCCCGAGTGTTTTTTAAAGACGTCTTTATGAGACAGCCATTACATTTTCCATCCATTATTCCATTTATTGCGTTAGCAGCTCAGCAGAGACCTGCAGAGTCTTTCTGCTGCCTCATTCTGCAGTTGGGGGGGGGGGGCAGGCATTTATAAAAAATTACACAATGTTTAAAGTCTTCAGGCATGTATAAAATATCAAAACGATTATAAGGTGGATTGTTCCATTGTGGCGCTCTTCCTTTCAGGCCTCTTGGTCCCTGGTCCAAATCCAGCTCCAGATCCTTTGTGCTGCTTTCTTTCTGCCTGAGCCGCTCCATTGGACCTTTCTTATTCAAATGTCCCAGCGGGAACAAAACCAGAACAGGACACAAATCATGTCCCCCAGACCGTGGGGAGGCCTCCATCAGGGTCCACCAGGGCTCAACCAGGGTCCAGCAGGGTTTACCAGAATGCAGTAAGGCCCACCAATGGCTCAACTAGAACCAACCAGCCTGCACCACGGGCCAACGAGGCTCAAGTAGAGTCCACCAAGGTTCACCAAGGCCATCAAGCTGCCCCAGGGTTCACCAAGGGCAAACTAAGGTTCAACAAGGTCCACCAAGGTTCATCAGGCTTGCAAAGGTCCACAGGGCCAAATTAGGGTCCCACGGCTCCCCAGGGGCCATCAGGGCCACCAAGGCCAAATAAAGGTGGAAAGAGTCCACAACGTGCCCAAGGGCCAGAGGCTCAAATAGAGTCCACAGGCCCTCCTATTACAGCTTGTTCAAGCATTGTTCAATACGCAAACCACATTTTCAAAACTCTTCACATATTCAGCGACATATATACATATATATATATATATATAATATATATATTATATATATATATAATATGTATATACATATATATTTATATTTTTCATTACTTCAGACAAAATGCATTCAATCAGCCCGTTTTCTGTGCGTGTGTGTGTGTGAGTGTGTGAGTGTGTGTGTGAGTGTGTGTGTGTGTGTGTGTGGGTGTGTGCGTGAGCTGTGTGTGAGTACGTGTGTGTGTGTGAGTGTGTGTGTATGAATGTGTGTGTGTGCGTGAGCTTGTGTGTGAGTGTGTGTGCGTGCGTGCGTGCGTGCGTGTGAGTGGTGTGTGTGTGTGTGTGCGTGCGTGCGTGCGTGCGTGTGTGCGTGCGTGTGTGTGCGTGCGTGTGGTGGATAAGTGTGTGTGTGTGGTGCGTGTGTGTGCGTGTGTGTGTGTGTTGTGTGCGTGTGTGCGTGTGTGTGTGTGTGCGCGGTGTGTGCTTGTGTGTGTGTGTGTGCGTGTGCGCTTGTTAAATGAGAGGAGGAAAAGCAGCAGAGTGAGACCTCTGACAGGATTAAATCTCAGACACGAGATGTGATCAAATTCAAATGAAGTGAAACACGTGAGAAAATAAGACGGAATGAAATAAACCAAACCCCCCCCCCCCCCCCCCACACCCAAAGAAGAGAAGAAGAAGAAACTGGAGGACCTGAGACCCAAGGGGGAATGTTAATGTCAGAGTTTGATGTTGTAAAAAACTTAATTTAATAACTTTTGATAAGAATTTTGATTTAATGTGAAGATAAATGCATATGATTAGTGTAGATCATTCTGTTAGTAAAAAACACACTTATTCATTGGGCAATTGGATTTGTGTTGCACATTTCAACAAAAGTCAAAGTGCTTCACATAAAAGCATCAAAACACCCAAACAGAAAGATTTACAAACAGTTAAGAACATTGAAACATACAAGAAACTGACAATGGTCTTAATACACTTTCAAATTGCATCATCTTCACCAACAAAACACACAAAATCCGACACTACTCATAGTTTTAAATGGATTCATGGGAGCAGTCAAAGTCTCTATTTCTATATTTTGTTTGTTAAATGAAAAGCGAAATACCAACAAATGTTTATTACTGCAAGATTAAGATGAATAATACGGAGATGATGGACGGACCAACGCACACGTGAAAGAATGTGAGTCAACTGCATCTCTCCACCTCCAACCGGCGCCAAGGAGGAGCAGGAGGAGCACAAGGAGCAGGAGGAGCAGGAGGAGCAGGGAGTCCGTGGCGTTGCCATGGCGCCTGGGTCCAGACTGTCCCCTTTGTGTCCACTAATGTTGAGTAAACTGGAGGTAAATTATGACCCTGAGCAAACAGCCGCAGACAAGTGAATAGGAAGCTGCTGCTGCTCCCAGAATGCAACAGGAGATTGATGGAGGTGGAGGCCAAACGGCGACGGAGGCATCTGCTTTCTTGCGACTGATTGACGGCGACGTTCCTTCAGATTAAAACCTTCCTGGACAACAAGATGGCTGTGAGGCGGTGGGGGGAGAAAGGGAGGAGGAGAAGGAGAGGAGGAGGGGAGAAAGGGCGGAGGAGGTGGAGCAAGAGCGTGAAGAAAGGAAGGAGGAGGAAGGGAAGGAGGGGGAAGAAAGGGGGGAAGGTAGGAGGAGAAGGAGTAGGAAGAGGAGGAGAGAGTCAGATCACGTGATTGTTCAATGAGTGTAATTTAGTCCAACAAAGGAGACCCAGAGGAGGAGAGAAGGAGCTGTGGAAACTCCTCTTGCAGCCTAATGACGCCGTTGTCTGTGGGTGGGGGGGTCCTCGACGTGATTTGTCATACAATCAGAATCTTTAGGAGGTCCACAGCAGAGACACCTCCTCTCCATATGTCCGCTTCGTTTGCATCTGAAAGCTGGAGTGGGAGAGAGGGGCGGGGGGGGGGGGGGGGGGGGGGCATTGAGGGTGTTTTGCTTCTTCAGCTTAATGTCTAAATGTCTGTGAATATATGAAGAAGAAAGAGAGAAGGAAAGGAGGAGACAAGGAAGGACAGGACCAGTCAAGGGGAAGGAAAAAGAAAAAAGGAAGGAACAATATTGATCTGATATTATGTTCTAATAAAAGAACATCTGGAACGACAACAGTTCTCCTTCATGAAGAAATCAAGCTCAGCAGAACGTCACGTGATCATGATGCTGATGATGATGGTGAAGATGCACCTCCCCAAAGGAGGATCCGTCTCCTGATGGACAGACTGCAATGATGTCATGTGTACAGAATGAACAATGTAAGCGAGTAGTAAGCAGGTGTACTGCAGGACCACTGCAGGGACAACCACCATCAGATAGAACCACCATCAGATAGAACCACCATCAGATAGAACCACCATCAGATAGAACCACCATCACATAGAACCACCATCAGATAGAACCACCATCACATAGAACCACCATCACATAGAACCACCATCAGATAGAACCACCATCTACAGAAGCCTGTGGGGAGGGAGAGCACAACTTTAGCAGAGGATAATGTTGGTTTATGATGACAGTAATATTATTAATATATAATATTATGATGAATATTTAAAATAATAATGATGATGATGATGGCAGCAGCAGGTGTCAGCAGGGCAAGTATCAGGACCAGGGTCCAGAAGGAACTACGATCTACGGAGACCTGATAGGGGAGAAAGCACAAAAAACTCCTGGAAAGAAGCTGAATGAATGCGCATTAATAAAACGTGGATTATTGTAGAAAGAGAGAGTGAGAGAAGAAAAAGTCCTCCGGCAGTCTAAGCCCATAGCAGCTTAACTAAGGGCTGGTCCGTGCTAACCTGAGCCAGCCCTAACTATAGGCACAATCAAAGAGGAAAGTTTTAAGCTTCATCTTAAATGAGCTGGTTCCACAAAAGAGGAGCTTGATAACTGACTGGCTCCCATCTTGGTTTTTAAGACTGTCGGAACAACAAGCAACCAGGATCTATGGAGCGCAGCTCTCTAGTAGGGCAATATGCTGTTATAAGATGGTATCCAGCAGCAACGAGAATCTTGGTTCTCTGAGACGATGCCTCACCAGCAAGTGCCTTGTAGGTGAGGAGAAGTACCTTAAAATCTATTCTTGATTTAACAGGGAGCCGGTGCAGAGAAGTTAATACAGGAGTGATATGATCCCTTTTCTTAGTTCTTGTTAATACACGTGCTGCAGCATTCTGAATCAACTGGAGAGGCTTAAGAGATTTACAAGAACAGCCTGATAATAAAGAATTACAGTACTCCAGTCTAGAAGTGACAAACTCATTTTTCTGCATCACTTTGAGACAGGAAGTTCCTGATTTTCGATATACTAAGTAGATGAAAAAAGGCAGTCCTTGAAGTCTTCTTTATACGAGAGTTCACATCCTGGTCAAAGAGAACTGCAAGATTCTTGACGGTGCTGCTGGGTACCAGAGCAATTCACGTGACAGCTGACTTCGAAAGCGCTGTGGGCCTATCAAGATAACTTGTTCTTGAAGTCTAACTAGCTGGTCCGTCTCTTCTGGCTTGAACGACAGATACAGTTAAGTATCGTCTGCATAACAATGGAAGTTTTTGCGGTGTTTCCTGATAAGATCGCCCGAAGAAAGCATATACAGAGTAAATAAAATCGGCCCAAGCACCGAACCTTGTGGGACTCCGTGCCCAAACTGAGATCGATCCGATAAATAGGATTTAAAACAGCTAAGAGCAGTTCCTTTAATACCAACCAAATGTTCTAGTCTCTGCAACAGGATACAATGATCAATGGTGTCAAATGAGGCACTGAGGTCCAGCAATAAGAGCAAGAGTAGGTTTCTTAAGAAGAGGTTAAATTCCAGCTACCTTGAGGGACTGTGGTACATGTCCTCTCAACAGATTCATAATATCCAGTAAAGACGTGCTAACTAAAGGAAAAACTCCCTTAAGCAGCTTAGTCTTAGTCTGCGTGTTCTCCCCGTGTCTGCGTGGGTTCTCTCCGGGTTCACCAGCTTCCTCCCACAGTCCAGAGACCTGCTCTGGGGATCAGGTTAATTGGGGACTCTAAATTGCCCGTAGGTGTGTGAATGTGAGTGTGAACGGTTGTTTTTCTGTGTGTAGCCCTGTGATTGGCTGGCGACCAATTGCCCGAAGTTGGCAGGATAGACTCTAGGCCCCCTGCGACCCTGTGTGCAGGATAAGCGGTTTGCGGATTGTTGATGGTGATGATGATAGTGATGGTGATGGTGATGGTTAGCTGCTGGTTCTTTGACATCTGTATTTGCTGAAAATTCCTTGATAACTTCATCCAATCACCTCTAGGAAGGAAGTATGTCCTCTGGTATCAAGATCTGACTGGACGTCTTCGTCTTACAGCTGGTCTTGGTCTCTGGATCTGACCAGGTGTCCTGCACCTAGTCAGGCCTGCGAAACCACGATAGAAGACGACAACACAAAGACCAGCTGGTTCTTCTTCTTTAGTGTGAAGAAGAGCACAGAGAACCCTTCTGGTCTCAGTGGTTCATCCACTCTGAAGTCACAACACGGAGCTCTGCTGCCCCCTCGTGGTGCTCTATGTTACTACACAGTATCAAAAACCAACCAACCAACCAATAGACTTAAATTGTTGAAGGCTTCTTTGCAGCACAGAGAAGTTTGTCATAAAATAACGTATGAAATATACTATGCTATGAAACCAGAAATAAAAGGCCGGTAGCTTTTTATAAACCTGTTTTATTAGTGCTATGCATTTCATTTCCAAAAAGAATGGTACGGTTTACAGTGATTGGGCTCCACACCGAGTACACAACATGCAGCTAAGTCACACAAAGCACAGAAAACTACATTTCACATTCTTAATTTCTGCATCCTGAAATAATTTCACTTGGAATGGTTAAGAAATTCACCCCATTCAAAATCTAGGAACTTTAAGAAGAATCCATTCCTTTTCATCCAGTTCTGGTCCCTTTTTAAATCCTAAATAAGGGACCAGGACAAGGTCGCGGCGTGGGGGGGCACGGTCGGCCGAGCTAAAAGGAATTTGCTTTCCGTGTAACGCTTGTGCGTTCAGGTACAAACGTCCTAACAACTGGAATGTATTCAAAGGATCTCGTCCCCTGCTGGGGGGACATAAAGGTGGCGACGAGGCGAGCTGTGAAATGGAGCTGTTAGCCTGTTAGCGTTTGCCGGATTATCGAACGAATGTGATGACTTTAATACAGTCCAGCCAAGCTACGCTGACATTCAGAGGAAAGTTCTCCATCTCCAGATGTCTCTGCATCTCATTTAGGTAAACATGTGCTGTGATAGTCGTGAGACATCACCAGAAGTAAAGGAGGTTGGAAGGTGTCTCTGTGTTCCTCTGAATGTCCTGAGAACAGAAGATGCTTCAAGGATCCAGAGTTTCAGCTCTAATCTCATTTATCTCGGTGTTCCATCATTGGCAAAACCTTCCATGTGTTTGAATGCGTTTCATGTTGACATCCACACTCATCAAGAGAGGTTCCACGCGGTTCATCAGTGTGCGGCTCAGAGGGACTCTGTGAACCTCGAGCCTCGCGTCACGAAGAAGAGAATCTTCACCACACTGTCAAACAACGATGTGTCTGAAGTCCACAACGTGTTGCGACCCCTGCTGGATCCACAAACAGAACAACGGCACAGGGGAGGCGGCGATAGCCCTTTTCTAGAGGCAGGTCACATGACATGATGACGCATGGCCGTGACCTCCTCTTCACACTGGTCTCAACGCCAAAGGCTTAAGGCCAAACGGCTGATTTACATGATAAACTTTAATGATAAAGTCTCAACCAAATTAGCTTTTGTTTATTTACTTTTGCTTTTGTTTCATTTTGTTTCAGTTTTGGACTTTCGGGGTAAATTAAATAATATCGTCCTTCAGCTTCACCAAACCAACAGTCAGACAACAACAAACACTCTGTGTGTATATATATATATATATATATACACACATATACACGTGTGTACATATACCTGTATATAACTATATGTATGTGTATATATATATACACACACATACACATAGTTATATACAGTATATATAGACACACATATATATATATATATGTATATATATATATATACACACACACACATATACACGTGTGTACATATATATATATATATAACTATATGTATGTGTGTATATATATATACACACAAATACACATAGTTATATACAGTATATATATAGACACACATATATACACACATAGTGTATTTTCTTTTAGTATTTTAGTATTTTTTTCCAGAAAACACCAAACAATTCTCTCTCTTTTATAATTTAAAGTAATTATTGCGATCTAAACAATACGACTTCTACTATTGAAAAGCTTCTAGTTAAACAAATGGTTCGCTCGTGTTTGTGAAAACGTCATATGAGAGGGACAATGAGGAGAGGGGACATGAGAGGGACAATGAGGAGAGGGGATGTGAGAGGGACAATGAGGAGAGGGGACATGAGAGGGACAATGAGGAGAGGGGATGTGAGAGGGACAATGAGGAGAGGGGACATGAGAGGGACAATGATGAGAAGGGCTATGATGAGGGACAATGAGGAGAGGGGACGTGGTGAGGGACAATGAGGATAGGGTCCTTGAGAGGGATAATGAGGAGAGGTGATGTGAGAGGGACAATGAGGCGAGGGGTCATGAGAGGGATAATGAGAAGAGGGGACATGAAGTGGACAATGAGGAGAGGGGACATGACCGGGACAATGAGGAGAGGGGACATGACAGGGACAATGAGGAGAGGGGATGTGAGAGGGACTATGAGGAGAGGGGACATGAGAGGGACAATGAGGAGAGGGGACGTGAGAGGGACAATGAGGAGAGGGGACATGACCGGGACAATGAGGAGAGGGGACATGAGAGAGACAATGAGGATAGGGGACATGACAGGGATAATGAGGAGAGGGGACATAACCGGGACAATGAGGAGAGGGGACATGACAGGGACAATGAGGAGAGGGGACATGACAGGGACAATGAGGAGAGGGGATGTGAGAGGGACTATGAGGAGAGGGGACATGAGAGGGACAATGAGGAGAGGGGACGTGAGAGGGACAATGAGGAGAGGGGACATGACCGGGACAATGAGGAGAGGGGACATGAGAGAGACAATGAGGAGAGGGGACATGACCGGGACAATGAGGAGAGGGGACATGACAGGGACAATGAGCAGAGGGGACATGACAGGGACAACGAGACATCTAGAGGCTTAATGAGGACGCTCTGAAGGAGGTCCTGTGAGATCAGAGGCCTCGCCTCCTCAGTCTCAGGATACTAGAGGACGAAGAGGACTTGACTTTGGGCTTTTCTTTGGGTTTCATGCAACACGCTGGACTCCCGCAGGCCTCCATGCAAAAAGAAACGCGAGGACGTGGCTGTAAACATGGCGGCACATTCGCGAAATGTCCCTAAGCTGAGAAAAGGCCTGATGTTTGCATCTGTGTGTTGACAATAAACAGAGAGCAGAAAACAGACAGTTAATCAAGTGCGTGTAACCCTCTTTCCACCAATCACAGAGGGTGTGACAGGAGGTACAAGCTCCTCCCACTGTCCTCCAGCGGGCCGAGCCTCGATTGTCTTCACCAGGACGCTCACTAACAACCACCGGGACGTCGCCCCATTTCTGGACAAAGACACATGGATTCATTTTTAAAAAATGAGATTCAAAGAAAATATAAATCTGCTACAGATCTTCAGCCGTCTGTAGCTCGGCGGCAGTGTAAGTAGCTGAGATGTTATCGTCTGAAGACCTTTCAATGTCCCCATCAGAGACATTTAATGTTGCTAACAGAGACATTGAATTATTGACGTGTCCTCTGCTGGAAGACAATGTAAGAAGACACACAACACTCAAACTCAAAACGCGACTCTGATTGGAATATAAACGCTGAGGTTCGAACTGTAGAAAAAACCTAAACATGCTCCACCCGTCGTCCTCCGGCAGCAGACACATTGGAATGTCTGACAGAGGACAGGAGGGCGGTAAGGACAGAGGGCGGTAAGAAGTGTCAAATCACAAGTAAGAGTAGAAAAAGAAGGACGTAAAGGATTTGCAGAAAGGCAGTGAGATGCTCCCAACCGCCCAGAACCCCCCACACGCACAGATCTACTGTCGAACCCGCCTCCTTCTACTTCTTGAACATGTCCTGCAGAGGTCCGGGCAGGAACTTGAGGACGGTGTCCAGGATGCTCTCCTCGTCCTCTTCGTCATTGTCTCCGCATCCCCGAGGAATTGCCTTCTTAGGACGAGTCAGGGAGCCCTCGCAGGCCTGCTCCATGGCCGCCTTCTCCTCCGCCTCCTTCTCCTCCTTCTTCTTCAGCCCGTACTGATGGGGGGGGGCGAGGGGGACAATGGGGAGAGGGGGCATAAAGGAGATATGAGAGGGACATGAGGGGGACTAATTAAAATCCCTTGGTGGTGTAACTTGAGACGACTGGAAGCTTCATTTCAAAAAAAGAGATGACGGAGAAGAAACAGAAAAGCAACAAAGAGGAGATCGAGGGGAGACAGTGAGGAGATGAGACGCAAATGAGAGGAAAAGGAGAAGAAAAGAAAAAGGAAAGAAGTAGAAGAGGAGACAAAGGGAGAAGATGAGGAAAAGAAAAGGAGAATAAAGGAGGTGAAGGGCGAGAGGATTCAAAGCAGCAAACCTTGTCCCTGATGGTCTGCCGTACTTTCTCCCTCTCGGCCTCCATGCGGGCGTGCTTGGCCTTCCTCTCCTCCTCCTGCTGCCTCAGCGCCTCCTGACGCTCCTCCTCTTTCTTGGATGCATCAGGGTCTTTCTCCTCCTCCCCCCCCAGCATCTTCCCCATGTCTTTGGTGGCTCCTGGACAGAGAAGAGAGGTGAATATGAAACAAACACCTGATTCATTCCCCTTAGAGGAACATCATGAGACAACACAGCTTCTTCGTCAGAGGAACATCTGGATATAAATGTTCACAAGTTCTTCCTCCTTAACGGAACATCTGGATATGAATGTTCACAGGTTCTTCCTCCTTAACGGAACATCTGGAGATGAAGATTCACAGGTTCTTCCTCCTTAAAGGAACATCTGGATATGAATGTTCACAGGTGCTTCCTCCTTAAAGGAACATCTGGATATGAATGTTCACAAGTTCTTCCTCCTTAACGGAACATCTGGAGATGAAGATTCACAGGTTCTTCCTCCTTAAAGGAACATCTGGAGATGAAGATTCACAGGTTCTTCCTCCTTAAAGGAACATCTGGATATGAATGTTTACAGGTGCTTCCTCCTTAACGGAACATCTGGATATGAATGTTCACAGGTTCTTCCTCCTTAACGGAACATCTGGAGATGAAGATTCACAGGTGCTTCCTCCTTAAAGGAACATCTGGAGATGAATTTTCACAGGTGCTTCCTCCTTAAAGGAACATCTGGATATGAATGTTCACAAGTTCTTCCTCCTTAACGGAACATCTGGAGATGAAGATTCACAGGTTTTTCCTCCTTAAAGGAACATCTGGAGATGAATTTTCACAGGTGCTTCCTCCTTAAAGGAACATCTGGAGATTACGATTCACAGGTGCTTCCGCCTTAGAGGAACATCTGGTGATGAATGTTCACAGGTTCTTCCTCCGTAAGGGAACATCTGGAGAGACCAAGTATCTTCGCTGAACTGAGAGGTTCTCGGGCGGCTGGCGATAGCTCTGCTTCTGTTTCTGGTTCTTCTGTAAATCCTCCTTGATTCATTCTTACAAAAAACAAATGAACGAAAACCTGCCAGATTTCATCCTCTGTGAACCATGAATGTTGGCGTCAAACAACCTGGTAGACCTTCAGACATCTTGAGATAAACATCAGCATTCAGACCAACAAAACAAACATCACCTTGTGTGTCCGTAAAATGTTTGATGACATCGTGTTTATTAATCGCGACTCATTTCCAACTCATTTAGGCTCCTCCCCTTTGTAAACCTGACGATGGGGACTTCTATGCAAAGACGAGATGAGAAGCAGCGACGACCTCCGTCTCCAAGGCTACGTCCCTGTAGATCCCAGGAGACGGGTCACATGATCACACGGCCAAACCTTCTCGTCGCCGTCTTCACAGGAAATGAAGGGCGGCTCAGAGATTACACCACCGTTACCTGTCACATGAGACAAGAGGACCAGCAACCAAGATGTTCAATATCCTGGTGGAGGCACAAACTTTGTCCTGTGAACTCATCGAAAGATCTAAACCGTGACACTGAACATCATCGAAAGAAAAGAACCCCAAATCAGAATCGATCTTCTTCCTCCAGCCGCCTAGAGACGAGGCCTCTGTGCACGTTGGTGACACTCATTTATTTCCTCTCAGTGATAACTATTCGTATTTGTTGCTAGGCAACGGCCCTTATCACCCGTGACGTCGCTGGGGACGGACACATATATTTGCGGATATATTCTTTAATCTTCCAGTGGATGTCCCGCTGTCAGCTCGGTCAACGCGTGATCATCACAGACCGCCCACTGGGATCTGATGCCAACGAAGACACCATGATTTACCAAAAGACCTGTATATGTGTGTCTGTTTGCCTGTGTGTGTGTGTGTGTGTGTGTGTGTGTGTGTGTGTGTGTGTGTGTGTGTGAAGAAGCAGCTGGTCCATGAACACACACCGGTCTGCTCCTGGAGGAAAGGTCACAGCACCAGAGAGCTGCACTGTGGGAGGTCAAGTACCTCCCAGGGGGGGGGGGCAAGAGGAGGAGTCTTTAGAGAAGGAGGAGTACAGGACGGACTGAAGGATGGAGGAGACGAGGATGAGTGGACGAGGAGAGACAGAGTGTCTGCTTCTCACAGTGTTGATTGCAGAAGGCGTTGACCTCTGACCCCTGAGAGCATTTCTATATCCCTTGACCTGCTACGGACATACTTTAAAGGAGACGCATCATGCTCAGCTAAAGTCGTACCTGTGTTTAGGGTTCCCACCTCAACCCGTAATGTCTGCTGCAGGACGTCTGAGTACTCACCACCTAAAGCTTGCTTCATCACAAAGTCCATGCTGTCTGAAAGGTGTCACGGTTCTTCTCAGGAGCAGAGCGAGCTGATCATGAAGTCCTCCTGCTGGTCTGCCCTTTCTTCTGGACCTGAGGGAGACCACATGAGACCCCATCACACACTGGTACCCTCGGCTTTCCTCACATCGGAGACGGGACACACAAGATCAGAGATCTGATGACAGATCAGAGGCGGGAAATATGAAACAATGTAGTTCATTTCTGTTTGCATGAGACCGACAAACACACACACACACATATATACACACACGCACACACGGTCAGACACACATCCACAGTTTTTAGATTAAAGGAGGTGAATTTGTCTTTTTTCACCAGCCCTGTCTCTTAAATGGAGGCTTCTGAGGGCTCATAGACTTAGACTAATAGACTAGTTTTGAACGTGTGATTAATAAACAAAAACACAACAGAACCATTGATGACATTACTTTACTCACGTTTCCATTTATTTCCATCCTCCATGTTTGAGTCTCCTCATCATCCCAAAGTACCATCCATCATCTACACATCTGCTAATTGATCAAATCTAATCTCAAAGAAGCAGCTCCTCCATCCAGACCACCACACGCCAATAAACACATTCATCCATCATCAGTGTCCTCAAATAACGTCTCCTATCTCCTTTGAAATCTCCTATCACGTCACTTCCTGTCCTCTGTGTAAATAATAAAAATACATTTAAATACCGTAAATGGGACATAAATATAGATCACTTCATGCTTGTCATCTTTATTTTCTGAATTTGGTTCCACTTGTTGCCTTTTCGTATTTTCTGCTAGTACTATGCTAACTATGCTGAGTACAGTTCTCAGCAAGTGGCTCTGCTTTGGTTTGGAGAGGCTTTAAACACCTACAAGCCCCCCCCATGAATGAGGCAGCTGAAGAAATTCAACCTGCCAGAGACGATGATGGTCCACTTCTACACGTCCATCCTCTGCTCCTCCATCAGCGTCTGGTACGCTGCAGCCACAGCCAAGGACAAGGGCAGGCTGCAGCGTGTCCTCCGCTCTGCAGAGAGGCTGATCGGCTGCAATCTGCCGTCCCTGCAGGACTTGTTCGCCTCCAGGTCTCTGAATCCAACCCCTCTCACCCCTCTCACCCCTCTCACCCCGTTCACCGTCTCTTCGAACACCTTCCCTCTGGCAGGAGGTTGCGGTCCATCAAGACCAAGAAACCATTTTTGCCCGTCAGCAGTTTCATGAACCGAGTCTGAGTCCCCCATTGACCCAAATACTTCACCCCCGGGACATTGCTCTCACCATGGAAACATATGTACATACATATATTGTTAATTCTTGATTGTATATTTTTGCACCAATGTACCAAGTCAAATTCCTCTGCGTGTGTAACATACGTGGCAATAAATGGCTTCTGATTCTGATTCTACTTGGATATAAATATATGGAAAGACAGATTCAGAACAAGAGCGTGTTAGTTGTCATTGTTCATGGCATCTTTATAAATATATTTAACACACAGCTATCATTCAATGTAGAACAACGGAGTATGAATAAATAACTATGATGAAAGGTCTGAATAAGGAGTTTGAGTATTAATACACGGGAGAGGTTCTGTTATCTCTGCTGTCACTGATGCTTTGAGATGATCCCGCACAGCCCTCCACCCTGAAGCACGGAGCCGCAGACCCCTTCCCTCAGGCCGTGGAGGGCTGGGGTCTGCAGCTCCGTCCTGAAGGATGGATGGGGAGCTGCAGACTTGCAGAATGTGGAGGGGGAGGATGGATGAAGCCAGCGAGGCGTTCGTCTTTTTATTCTGTGGTCGGGTGGCTGAAGGAAGAGAAAGAGCGAGAGAATTAAGGGGAGAAGGCGGAAGGCGAGGGAGGGGGGGCAGGAGGAAACAAGGACCAAGGAAGTCAGCGGAGGAGGGGAGGTAGGAAACTAGGAGGCGGAGAGAAGAGGGAGATGATATAGAAATGAGGAGTGAATGTAAAGAGGAGAGAAGGAGACAGTGAACTGGGTCAGCAGGGAGAAGGAGTCATATATATATATATATATATATATATATATATACACACACATTATATATGAATGCCATAATCTTTCTGTTTCACATCCTATGTTGTTCCTCTCCGTCAGGGATGGGGGGCTGTGGTAAGAGGCCATGGGCATGCTGGGGAGGTGGGCGGAAGCTTTGCCACGCTACGTAGCTGAGAGATGGAGAGGAAAGCAGTCAAGCAGAAGAGGAGGATCTAATCCAGAGTATATCTGATGAGAGGAGGATGAACCATGGAGTTACGCTCTGTATCGTTCTGACTCAGCGAGAGTGGATTGGAGAAGGTTTACGATACTACATACGTTACTACGTCTGGAGGAGACCCCCGGCCCCGAAGATTTTCAACTCACACCTCCGGCGGAGCTTCTCTCACATCCCTGGGAAGGTGGAGGACGTCAGGTGCATCAAGGGGCGGTAACCCTCGACCCCCCTGGTGGACACCGGGGTTCAGGGAAGCCGTCCGACTGAAGAAGGAGGCCTTGCGCCTCATGACATCCGGTGGGCCTCCGGAGGCAGTTGCAGCGCACCGACAGGCTCGAAGGGCGGCGGCCTCGCCGTGAAGGAGGCGAGTGTGGGAGGAGTTTGGAGTAATTATGGAGAAGGACTTTCGGTCGGCACCAAAGTACTTCTGGAAGACCATCCGGCACCCCGGGAGGGGAAACTGTGTACAGTACGCACGGGACCCTGTTGACAGCAACTGAGGAGGTTATATATATATTTATATCATATATGATATATATATATATATATATATATTACTCCGTCGCTAGGTCTCTTAAGCGCTTCTCCTTCCCGGCATCTCCTCCACTGCCTCTACTCCCCCTCATCGGGCCAAAGGCAAACTCTATGCCCAACAGGTGCCTAAGGGTTGTTACCACGGTAACAGTGGTACTTTCATCCGCCATAGGACTGCGTTGAAGAGAGGAATGGTTGTACTGCTGCAGTAGTACAAGTACTCCTACTAGCACCTCCACATGCTCCTCTGGCTCTGATCGTTTAACATCACTACCTACTCTCCTACAAAAGGCTTCAAACTCACAACTCATACTGAGAGTGTTGTGTTATTTAGTTCTGAGGAGGACTCATGTGTTTATTAATGAATTCATGATGAGACAGAAAGTAACAACAAGCTGTGGAGGTTGAACCTGTGTGTGATCTTCAGATAGATCAACAACCTCATGAAAGTAAACTAATTAAAACTCTTTTGACGTAAGATGAGTTGAATCTAATACAAAATAACATCCCCTCGTACATTCAAACAGGTTTAATGATTTCCCATAAATAACAATAAAATATATAAGGAGATAGTATAGTGTAAACACAACACACACACACACACACAACACACACATAAACACACACACACACACAGACACGCAGACGCTACACACACATAAACACAACACACACACACACTCACCCACCCCCCCCCACTTTGTACAGCCTCTTCAACACACACAGAAAAAAACTCGAACGGTGTCGGTTTAAAATGAAAACCCTCTCCAGCAAAACACACACTGGCAGCCGAATGTCACATGTCATTCCTTCAAACTGGGAAAAAAAATGTCAAGTTTCCTCACAGGTTCAACTCAGATATTTTTCGTCCCATTGCATCATCCACATTTGCGTAAGAATACACGGCTTCCACCGCTTAAAAATGCATATTTTGTATCAGCACCATTTCTGTCACACAACTGTCCAAATGCAGTTGTGGACCAACGGATGGAAGGAATTTATCACCAGTTTGCTTACAGCCGTAAGCGGGATTGTCACTTCACCCTAAATGTGTGACGCTACATGAAGTTTTCACATCATATGAAAGGCGAAGCCGGTGTGTGTTACCATTGAAATACCACGTGCAAATAACCAAATCAACAA